GTCCGATTCACGACGCCGGACTCCAACGCTCAGTTCGACAGCGGACGGTGGAACAGGGGGTTACAGCCCTGACCCCATTTGCTTGTCGACCACAACGCCGCAGCTCAAAGCTGCGAGGTGGTCATGGATCCCAACCCGCTTTCCCAACACCGCTCCGTCGCAATTAAAATCCACCCAGCGGTAAAAGCCGAGACGGCAGGTGCCATTCCGCCGTCGCTTCAACTCTGGGGAGGCAAACTGGCAGCAAGATTCGCAGCAGATCTCGACAGAGCGGTAGCGGACGTCAAAACCAGCAGGCAATACTGTACTACGAACGCTTCGTAAATGCAGTGAAACATACCGCCAGAGAACAACATACACAGCAGGACTCACCGACGTGCTGTGCCCGGCAAATAGAACAAACTACGACGTGAAACCAGCCCCTTCTCAGAGAACACCATATGGCCGCTGGCGGAGCGCTCGCTGCTGGACCGGCTGGCAAACAACGCGAGGGGACGCGGCCGGGAGCCACTCGGCACGGGAGCCACATGGGGGGGGAGAGGGAAGACAGCGTGGGGGCCACTCTGAAGCGAGTTCACCACCCCGAGTCGGCAGCTCAAGATCCAAAGCGGCGGTGCTCCACAGCAACGGAGAGGAGCTGCTGCTGCTGCTGCACCGAGAGATTGGCCATGCGACAGCTCTGTGTGTCCGTACGTTGGGCTTCTTTCGCACCGTACTTAGCCAACCGAGCGAAGCGGAGGTGCGGGAGGACAACAAACTGGACAGCGCAAAAAATCAGTTCCAGAGACATCGGTGGTGTCTGTGCACGTGGCTGCCTGCAATGCAGCGCTGTGGAGACAGCGGCGAGGGTTCGTGGATCACCTGGTGCATTCGCTGTGCCCGCGGGTCGAGATTGGACCCACGCACTGTGCCAGGACCTTGCTGCGGGCGACGCTGCCACCACGGGAATGCGCTCGCCGCTGGAAGGGCATTTGACTTTGGTGGACGGAGACAAACAAACAAGGGAGGTCGCTAGAAAAAATCCAAACGGCCAATTGCATGTCATTTCTGCATCTCTATTATAAAAGCCCGGCGTTCCGTGTGTCCGTTGTTTGCCCGTCATCTAAATCATTCGAGCATTTCAAAAGGCCTGAATCTAAAAGTTATAGAAAGTGGACGCCCCCAGATGTGGGGGTAAACATTTGACCCAATAGAGTTCCAATCAATTTCGACCCCCCCCCCCCGCCCTCTCAAAAATAAATGTATTTTGTAGGCATATATGCCTACACACCCTTCATGCAATAGGGTCAGTAGTATCTGCACACGTTGCGGTGGGGGGGGCGTGCAAGAAGAGGACATCAGTGGGGGCGACGGGCGAGGCGCGCTGCGATGAGAAGCCCCCGAGAGGAGCTCGAATTTCAGCGGCCTGCGGCGACCGACAGCCGAACTTCTGGTAAGACAAAAAGGCACCAGAGGCTACAGCTCTGCCTTGCAGGGTAAATGCTGGAGCCCTTGGAAGCCTCATTCCCGGCCCATGGAAGCTGCGTTCAGTGAATTGTGCGCATATAAGTCTACGTAGTCATGGAGGTGGAACCGCATCACCAGTTGGTGCATAAACACATGGACGTGCACGGCCCGTTTTGCCGATCCACTGCTGGATGAGGACCCCTCAACATCTTGATGTGCCACGAGGCGTATTTGTCCTTGCTTCACCGCGTTGGCGAAGATGGAGGGAATGCAGAACATTGGATGTTGCTGCAACGTCTATTGCACCATGCCAGTGTGCACGGTGGCCACCCACCTCAGGGCTATACGGGTTCAATACCTGCTTAGCTTCTGGTATCTGGTGAGATGGGCGCATTCCGGGTCGTTTGTTTGAAGGAAGTTCACAAACACGTCTTTTATCAAATGGGGATTTTTGGGGGCTATTTGGACAGCTTATATGCAGCGGGCCTGCCAAATGTGTTCAAACATGACAGACCATGTATATATCGTTATATTGCTTTACTTTTCTGGTGCAGCCGCTGCAGCTCCGTAGTCACCTCTGTTGCAATGTTTCCTCTGTTGTATCTAATGAGACAAATATCCCAGAAACGGAGTTCTGTGTGAAAGCATTTTCATAAAAAAATACTTCAATAAGTTGTTTGTGTTCTTTTACACTGTTGTTCAAAAAAATATCTCACGGTAGTTGTCAAAGGGGGGGGAGGACCCAAGTCGTAGATTTAGCCACCAGGGGGAGTCTGGGGGGCAAGGCACCCCCTGCCCACACGCTCGTGACGCCGCTGTAGTTGACGTTTACATTTTCCCTCCGTGGCCAGGGTTCTTGCTCGCACACTTATCGGTCAAGTCCTTCGCTGTAATCACGCACGCGCGCCCATGCTTAAGTGGTGTTGCTGCTGCTGTTGGCTCCGCCGCTCGATACCTTTGTAAATAGACTTGAGCAGCGCTTCCACGTGGCAATTCGTAGACATGGAATGCCCGCTCGGTGGGAACGGCGATACAATGGCATGCAACCGCATTGGGGTGATGTTAACTACCGCGCCTGGTATACAGGAGGTCATGGGTTCGATCGCGACCCTGACACCTGCTGCTGTATATTTGCAGTTTGCGTGTCTCTCTCCACCGTGGTCGCGTGGATTTTTCTCTGGGTCCCTCTGTTTTTCCCCTCCATATTACGAATCAAAATCACGCGTTTTGGAGTATTTGGGTGCTATAAATTTCACGTGATAATACGCCGTTTCGTTGGAGCTATCATTTGTGATAACCAGGTTACACCACATAGCTCAGTGGGGCCTCCTTACCTGGTGAAATGAAAAATATAATTTCGTTTGTCTTCAACAAATTGCGAAATCGTTACCTCCCATTTCATAGCCGAAGAAGGCATATGCCCACGAGCACGTCCATCTGGCGCGGCTGGTAGTGAAAACTTTTGTCATTGATGCCCATTTGTTTCGAAATCATCTAAACTTGAGATGCTTTTGACGGATAGATTTGAAAGATATTTTTTAAAACGCGTGTGCGTAACCCTGGGCTTGGCTGAGTTACCATAGCGAAGTCAAGTGGCAGAGGGTGGCTGGAAGGCAAGCAAAACACAAGCCCCTAAATATAACACATCTCTGAGGACCTCCTAGCCCTACTGTAAGGGCAGCGAGAGCACGGGGAGGAGGAGGGGGATACGGACAAAGGGAAACTTCTCTGGGAGGCACGAATCTGCCTACACCTCCTCCGATATTTGCTTTGCTTATTGCGTTACACATGGTAGTCACGTATGATACGTTCACACACACACAGGTACGTGTTTCGAATTACGTATGACATACATACACTAGAGTTTTTGAATAGAGTACAGCTAATGGTGTGCACATACTTGGCAATTTTATTTCACGCATTTACAAATGCACATGTTTATACATACACCTTTACACGCACAGATACACACTGACACTCACCGAACACAAGACACAACACGCGCATAAACACACTGGCACATGCAAATCCCAGAACTTTTCACACAACACATAGACACACACACACACACGGATACATACACTCACAGAACTGTGTACACTACACATACACCGATACATACAATCACAGAACTGTGTACACTACACATACACCGATACATACACTCACAGAACTGTGTACACTACACATACACCGATACATACACTCACAGAACTGTGTACACTACACATATACAGATACATACAATCACAGAACAGCGCAAGACACACACAGACACAGTGACACGCATGGTCACGTGGCTGTGTACACAATAGACACTTGACACGTACAATCACAGGGGCCGTGCACAGCAAAGGCAAAGATCGCCCGTGTAGCCTTTGTCAGACTGCTGGGGGCAAGTGCTGTTAGCGAGCATCTCTGAAGGCCGGCACGGCGCACGGAGGAGGTGCGTGGCCAGCAACCACGCCCGCCCGCCTTTGTCTCCCCACTGGCGATGCACACACACCGCACCGGGTACTCGTGCTGTGAGCGAGCACGCACACGCGCGCACTCGCACACTCCCACACACGCACACTCCCACACACACGCACACTCCCACACTCCCACACACGCGCACACACGCACACAAGCACACACGCACACTCCCACACACGCGCACACACGCACACTCCCACACACGAACACATGCACACATGCACACTCCCACACACGCACACTCCCACACTCGCACACTCCCACACACGCGCACACACGCACACACGCACACTCCCACACACTCACACATGCACCCTCCCACACACGCACACTCCCACACACGCACACACGCGCACACTCCCACATACGAACACACGCGCACACACGCACACTCCCACACACGCACACATGCACACTCCCACACACGCACACTCCCACACACGCACACTCCCACACACGCACACTCCCACACACACACGCACACTCCCACACACGCACACACGCACACTCCCACACACGCACACTCCCACACATGCACACTCCCACACACGCACACTCCCACACACGCACACTCCCACACACGCACACATGCACACTCCCACACACGCACACTCCCACACATGCACACTCGCACACTCCCACACACGCGCACACGCGCACACTCCCACACACGCACACATGCACTCCCACACTCCCACGCACACACGCACACTCCCACACGCGCACAATCCCACACACGCGCACACGCGCACACTCCCACACTCCCACACACACGCACACTCGCACACACGCACAAAACAACAACAACAACCGCCATTCGCCACTAAGTGGCGGTGACGTCACCACGATGCTTGTGCCAGGCCATGTGCACCTTGAGGCCACGTGAAGTGTCGAACGCCCGCTGGCAGGAAGTCACGCACACACGCACACACTCCCACACACACACACTCGCACACACTCGCACACGACACACCCCCGACACGCACACAGCGGCATGCGTGTCGGGGGTGCGGGCGGGGGAGAGGTAGTGCCCTCCCCGGCATTGCAATGCGCGAGTTATTCTCGTGGCCCGGGGCTCCCTCCGTCCCCTTTCTTTCCTCCACAGTCGCCAACTCCGCGAGAAGTGAGCGCGCGAGTGACAGACGATCGGACGCGCGACTTCACAAACGCGCGCGCCGCTCGCTCCATCCCCACCCTCTCTCTCTCTCTTGCACGATTGGCACGGTTGGCTACGTACGGCGCGAAAGAAGTTCAACATACGTCCTCACACTGTTGTAGGGACACATCCCCGCGGAACCAGACACAGAGATTTCTCTGCGCGTCGCACTCGAGTGAACGTGTTTAGACGGCGCATCACCATCCACTGCCTCCTACTAGCAGCAGCAGCAGGGCAAACAGGTAAATGACCCTAGGTAAATCGTCGTCGCCCTTACACCCTTGCGTTGCTAAATGCACGTTAACATTGCACGTGCACCGGCATTGTTGTTTAAATAGCTTTGGCCAGCGTAGCTCTACCTATTGTGTCGTGATGGTACAATGACAGTCGCTGCAAAGTGGCGCCTTTTGTTGTTGTTGTTATTGTTTCCCCACCACAGATTAGCACGGTTGGCTACAGTACGGTGCGAAAGAAGTTCAACATACGTACGCGAGGAGGAGGGGCTATGGTTGGTGTCGAGTGAAGTGTTACTGTAAAACCACAATGCCGGGCTGGAAGACGAAGCTGGGATCCTGCCTTCAGTTTCACCTGTTGGAGGGTGAGTGAGCGAGCGAGCGCGCAAGCTCAACTGTGGACTCGCTGTGTGCGCGTGTGTGTTGGGTTGTCTCAGTCTGTGTGTGTGTTCATTCATTCACGGGCAGGCAGGGTGGCGGTACAGTGGTGATAACACTCGTGGCTCACAGCACAGAAGGGAAGGGGCCCTGGGTTCGAATCCACACTCGGGCACCTTCCTGCGCTGGAGTGTTTAATGTTCTCTCGCCCCCCTGTTCTGCGTGCGGTTCCTCCGGATTATCCGGTTTTATCACACAGGTAAAAGCACATGTTAAAAAAATATCCCAATGCTGAAATACATCCTGCAAATGTCTAAATTCGGCTGACCCACAGCAGAAACATCGCCCACCCTACTGCAACAAGCCCCCCCCCCCATAAAGGAGTCTTGGGACTCGGTCAAGGCTTTTCTGAGTAAACTGGCATCATACATAAAATAGCTGTCCCGTGTTTTTTACTGAATGTTTTGCTATATGCGTGGTTGTCTCCCTGAAGAAGGCAAACCAAGTAAATGGGCTCCGATCTGCTTTTATCGATTTTTGTTGCCTTATTTTTTGTTTAAACATAGTTATTGAGCATAGGCACAAACATGCCTTTGGATGTGTTTTATCCAAATATTCAATTTGAATGAATTAATGTGAACAGGCTGGATGCATTACATATCTCTATATTATACTGACAGGGTCCTCAAATATGGGAGGAGAAGGGAGATCCTGTACATTTTCTGGATTTTGGTCGAGTGTCAAAAAAATAATTCCAGCCTTTATCAATCCACTAATGGATGGAGGCCTTCCCAATGCCATGTCGACCATGGGATTGTATTTTGCATCATGCTTCACCACGCTGGTCAGTGCAGGTTGGCGAAGGGGGAGGAGTGGGTGTCAGGACAGAATCAGTGCAGACAGCACTTGCAACTGATGTTAGCTGTGGTCGGTTATTGAACTCGGGTCACCCCATTCACAACACCACTGCACCCTCTTGATCAGGTCGCACTCATTACACACAAAGTGCCTGCCACAAATGAACCACGATGCCTTGCGAATCTCGTCAATGAGCATAAACCATCACGCGAACTCCGGTCATCCTCGCAGCAATGGATTTTGGCAAGACATCGGAAAAAGACGCTCATTGTATCGCGCACATTCAGATGTGCTTCTGTGGCCGTCTGGAAAACTCTTCCTTTTGACATTAGGAAGCCACTGGAGCTATGCACTTTTAAATGTAATTTTTTTAGAACTGATCATTTGTGTTTAGTTTGTTGTCTGTCCCCCACACCCCTGATTAGCTCTGTTGGTTACTTACAGTGCGAAAGAAGTTCAACATATGTGGTATAATTGAGGATTGTATTCTCCCGTAAAAGGAAACTGGATAACCTGGAGGTGTCCCGCATACAGGAGGAGATTTTCAAATATTTGTAGAGAAATTTCAATCAGCAAGTAAAACTCAGTGTTTATATGGCGACGTTCACACAAGGCCTCACGGCGCATCAGCTGCCACCAGTAGCCCGGCAGGTTGTTTCACGCGCCATGGACGTTCCCTCCAAAGCTCTAGATGACAACACGCGTTTTCCACCATGCTCTCTCATCTATTTGCAGCTCATTCAAACTCGAGTTGTCCAACTATCTTAAGATGAATCCCAATCTGGATATGTAACCGTCATGTAGCTGTCTCTCCACAATATTTTAAAACAACGTATTGACACAACCCATAGGCACCCACGGGCCTTCTTGGGAGTGCATGATTAGCAGCAGCGTTGATTCAGACACAAGAAAACTGTGCACTCGTTTCGACGTACGGTGTCTCGTCAGGTTTGCTTGAATGAATGCTGGCGAACTGCCAGACGTTATGGGCAAGACTCCAATCTTTAAGATTAGAATGCAAATCTGGGTACTTTATCTCGGCAACCCTCGACCAAACGTGGCTCATTTAAATTGCAACTGCCTTTAAAATGAACGGAGTGCATTCGCCTTTTAATGTCGCTCATTCCAACCCGGCTCATTTACATATGGTTGATGCAAATACAGGATCAGATTCCGGTCAGCCGTACGTGATACGATCGAAATTTGATGCATTTTAACGTGATTCGTTCAAAAGCCATTCATACGAAAAGCCATTAATTAGGTGTTTAATGACTCACCGTTTGAAATACAATGCATACGCGTGATATAGTTGTACGTGCATCAAATATGCATCAAATTATACATTATTTAGGATTTGTGCTAATTTCAGGCACATTATCCACCATGGGGTGGAGTGGTGCATTCTGGACGCCAATAACTCGACTTCAATGCCTGGCCCCGGACATCCTCACTGGACTTGCCTCCTACTAAGCCGGCATTGTGACAAATGGTAAAACAACCCCGTGACCAATATGGCATGGGGAGACCTACATCCAACTGGGGATCTGACACAGGGTTTAAAATGTATTTGCCTAAATTATTATCAATATTTCTAGCATTGCCTAAGCAATGCAGTAGATGAAGCAAGAAGTCTTGTTGGCAATTTCCTTTTCTTCAAAGTGCAATGCAGTGCCTTGAATTTCTATGCGCATGAAATGAGAATTCAATTGACACTGTCTGTTTTATGTTATGTTATAATATAACACAACGCTTGAGTTGCTTGGTGCCTAAATGCGACCACCTCATCTCAAAGATACTAATTTAACAGCACATGTCTTTTTTCGCGAACCAATAGTACAATTCATAAACGGTTTATTTTTCATTAGATCGTGTAGGTATAAAATACAGGGTGCTTCAAAAATATGTGAACACTTCCGAGAATTTGCAACAACACCACGAGAAATGTGCCTCCCGGCTCTGGAGACCACCAGGAGAAGATTCCAGGCAACGTGTTGACAATGATGGCGAACAAGTGGAGACACTTTGACTTTTTGAAGCTATTGACGGTGACATTTGTTATCATGTTACAGTCTATTATCCGTTCTTTTCCCATTAAAAACGATAGTCCCATATAAGTGTTTAAACAATTTTGAAGCACCCTGTACTGTATATTTGTTTATTACCGATAATTCTCCAAGCGACGGAGCCAACCAAATCAAGTTGTCACGTGGGCAAATACGGCCAGGCGATTTGGGTTGTTTCTTTCAGCAAAGCGGAGTTTTGAAACTGCGAGCAAACATTTGGATAATTTATATCATCAAGAAACTCGCCTACATTAAAACTTGATTTGATGGGCTCTGTCAGGTGGTTTAGAGTTATAGTTGACAAAAAGAAATCGTACATTATACATGCACAAGCTAACCTTAAAACAAACCAATAATGAATCATCTCAAGCTGCTGCTGTCTGTTGCAAGCAAGCACTTCCTTTGTCTCACTCAATGCGCTCCAGCCACTTGAACACGCGTTGCACTGGAATTGAGATGTTGTGCTTTCGCGTTGTTACTTTGCTACCATGAGTGGATCTTTTCCTTTGTCCTGGAGGCGGCTTCACAGCGGAGATATCGCCTGGCGTGCTGTGCATGCAAACCGACCAGGGATGGCATTATCACACCTAATTAAGCTCACAGTACACGTGCGGATATTACCCGTATGCAACATATCGTCGGTTATATTAATTTATACGTTCACGTCAAATGCTTAGCTGGACTTACGCGTATCTGCGCGTCTTCCCTCGTCATCGTCACATTTACCATCGCTCCGCACGGCCTACACATTCCTTGGGGCCGGCCAGCCCTTTAGTCGTTCATTTATTCGCACATTTCCCGTCGGAAGGCGCCGACGCAAGTTTATGGACGGTCACGGTCGTTGTCGCTGGGCATCAATCACCGGTCGGCCGCCGTGGCACGGCTGAATGTGTAACACGCAGGAATAGGAGTGAAGTGGGGGGGGGGGGGCTGCTTAATGGAGTATTTCTTGTAACGTACGAGGGGCTGCAATAGATCTCTGACGTGAGATCGGCCACAGAGCGCCGGATAGCGGCTTCTTCGAAGTGGTGAAACTGGGACGGGTGGGGGAGAGGACCTTGGGAGGAGGGATGGGGAAGGAGATGGGGGGGGGGGGGCTATGGAAAGATGTAGGAGCCTTGGAGGTGAGTGGCTATCAGGTCTTTGCAAGACGAATGAGCCTTCTATATACAGTGGCCCCGGCCGCTTACGCATGACTCTTGTGCCAATTGTAGGAGAACAATGATGTCTTTGTTGCGACGTATCGCTGGTGCATTGCGCTAAACTGTGGACAGATGTTCCCGAAATGCGATCGCCGACTGCGTTAAGGATGACGCAGTCCGCGACAGCGTTTGTTGTTGTGGGATCGTACCGAGAGCTGGGGGAGAGAAGCCCACGGATTGGAGAACGTAATACACACAGGTTAAAGGCGTCAGTCCTTCGGCTGTTTTAGAAAAGTCAGTGGGAACTAGGGAAAGAGACGTCACTAGAAGGGGACGATGTTCTTGCCTGCAGGAATGTAGTTGTTGCTTCAGGACTGCGAACAAAGATCAGCACTGCCAAACACTTTGTCCGAGCAGGGAGACCCTTTGACTCTTTGAAAGTAATAAATGTAAATGAATGGGCATTGCTGCGCATTAATTCCACTGCGCATTGTACACTCTGCATGCACGACTTTGCTTTCACAATGTTGCACCGTATCACATGGCCGCCTGACCTTTCGTACTGAAATGCTAAATAAAAGCAATAACAAAAGGGGTCGCGTGACTTGTGTAGGAATCTGATGATCAATATCAAGCATTTAGTGTGAATGTGCTTTCCAAATCCCACCTTTTATTTTGCTTTAAATTGAAGTTCAAGTGTGAGCGGGGTCTGTCTGGTGTGGCTGGGGAACCTCATGACACTAAATAATGCTTCAACTATAATTGTCTTCCGATATTCAGAAATTTGACACTTTTCACACGGTGATGTGCTCTTAAATCCCACGCACATTCGCTCACGTACGTATAGACCACAGTGGAAGCGTTTAACTTTGTCCAGTCACCACCCATTCGTGGCACCGTGGTGCAACTCGTTTTGGGCGCCAC